ACCCGGAAATTGAATCAGAGACCCCTTGCCCGGTAGACACACTTGCAACCACTCGGCCAACGAGGCAGTCATTAATTAGTGTTGTAATTAATTAGTGTGTTAATCTGTCATTAGCTCGAGATCTGTTTAGCACGACTGCGGTGTTGTAGAGACAGTTTGTTTGTCTTTTAGCCGCTTTCTCAGAACATGATCTAGTCATCATTTGTGTAGGGTTGGCAAGTAATATTATTGTGGTGTGTTAAGTAGAATGAAATACCTATTTGTTTTTTTTATAATATTAAAATGGTCAACCAATTTTCTCTTCTTGTTTGTCGAGTGGTTGTCATCCTACTAATATTATATACTTACTAGCTACTTCCACGCGGTTTCACACGCTCTGCTCAGCTCCTATTGATCGTAGCGTGATGTTTTATAGCCTATACAAAATCCAACATAAAAATAATTATTCAAATCAGACTTGTAGTTACGGAGATTAGCGCGTTTTAAACAAAAAAACAAACTCTTCCGCTTTATATAATAGTAAGTATAGTATAAGATTCAGTAGTTTGTATGTCTGTGTGTTTTTTAATCCTTCACTTTAAAACAGCTGAAGGGATTGGGATAAAATTTGGAACAAGGATAGATATGGTCCGGAATAACACATAGGCTACTTTTTATCTCACGGAAGTTGGTTTATGTCTCATTCTAGACCATCATCTACATCTGTTTCAAATTTCATCCCAATCAGTTTAGCCATATTGACGTGATTGTGTTACAAACTTGAGACTGCCTCATTGGCCGAGTAGGTCGCAAGTGCGACTGCCGGGCAAGGGGTCTCGGGTTCGATTCCCGGGTCGGGCAAAGTATTACTGGGTTTTTAAAAATCTCAGTAGTAGCACGGAGTTTGGAAAAATGTGCCCGGTATATGGCAATAGGCTCACCCCCTATTACATGGGACTCATAACATAAATAGTGAAAAGTGGGTGTTACATTGTACAGTGGCATTAAGTGCCGAAATGTGCACCTCTGCCTACCCCTTCGGGGATAAAAAGGCGTGATGTTATGCTATGCTATGCTATGAGTTACAAACATACACACAAGATGAGATATGCAATCTCAAATTACAATAAATCGCCAACCCTACGTCGGTAATGAATACAGTCGCCGGGAAATACCACGATTAAGGTCGTTGGCATCCGTGTGGGTCACAGTGAAAGTGACCCCGCGGTGCCGACGGGTTTACACTGTACCGGTAGGGTGCAGGTCTCGTTTATGAACAGTACTAGTGACACAACCAGGCTTTACCCACTTATGAAGCCTACCCACCGATGCCGATTCGGAGTCGCGGAAAACCTAACGGGTAACCGGGGCTCCGGCTCGACGTGCAGGAGAAGGAACGGGGTGGTTTTTAGTCAGTAAGAGTCTGACACTCTCTCCCGCCTCACCCAGGCGGGAGCAGTCATTCGATGATTTTCCCCCCTTAAAAAAAAAAAAAAAAAAAAAACTTATGAAGAAGAACAATTCTCCAAATCGCACAGTGTGCAATAAAGTTGAGGATATGCAACATTTGCTGATGGATTGTGTCCGGAATGAGCGGGAACGTGAGTTACTCATTGGAGAATTAAAACTTAATAAACTGGATGTATGCCGTGGTGGCCCGGAGGTTTAAGACGCCCACTACTCATGCATGAAAGGGAATACTTATGAAAAATATTAGACACGTATTTTTTTATTTTCTCGTATTAAGTTGTAATACTTTGATAAAATGGCGCTAAGTTTAGGAGTGGGAGGTTGTTACGTCATAACGTTCTACAAAACGGGGGAACGGGATGGTGTTTAGTCAGTCAGACTTTGACACTCTCTCTCGCCTAATCCAAGGCGTAGCTACCAAAACTGTCATGGCTACTTGTCTTGAAGTTCCCACGAAATCACTTTCTTTATTTGTAAAACTAAAAACAAAATGCCTAAAGGGGGTCAAAGTAATTTATTTAACGTAGTACGCCTCTACCCATAATTTAACTTATAAAGGTTAAAATACAGTTTATTTAACCCATACATTATGTCAAAAGAATTTTCTTACGCATTTTGTAGGTTCATTGAGGTATAGCCACACCCGCGTTCATGCACGAACGAAAATGAGGCTTAAAATTTCTTGTATCTGATTACCTAATTAGTTTGTTTTTAAATAACTAAATAATAGCATTTATATAAGATTAACAGTATAACTTAATGGCGTAAGCTGTGGTGTTATATATGGACATTTTCAAATAAATAAATAATGTGCACCTCTGCTTAGTGCCTACCCTTCGGGGATAAAAATAATGTTAATTTTTTCCCCAATCTCTCCGATTCCTGAAACCCCAATCACCCTCAACCTCTTAATCCCCAAAAGGCCGGTAACGCACTTGTAACGTTCTGGCGTTGTAACTCTGGCATTCCAGGTGTCCATGGCTGACGCTGATTGCTTACCATCAGGTGATCCGTCTGCTCGTTTACCGGCTTATTTCATAAGAAATAAAAATAATGCACTATGCACAAGTCTTGTGCTTACAAGTGTAGCTTCACCTTTAGCTTGCAATACCTATATTTATACGCATAATTTACAAATAACTTGTCTGTACCTACCAGGTAGGTCATGGAGAAAGTGACTCCTCTGCCCAACCCATTGTGATAGCAGGGTTAATGGTATTTAAATAGGGAATATTATACAGTCAGTGTCGTATGAGAATCGATGTTGATTTCTGTATATTATTAGTATTTATGAAATGTATTTTCTATTTATAAAATGAGAGAGAGGAAATTCTTATTTTTTTAAAGTCAGAAGTGTAGCTGTCGAACTATGGTGTATCGGGTTCGATTTCCCTGTCGATCAATGTAATACGACCGATTTTTTTAAATTCTCGTTTTAAAAATAGGTCTCACAACACTACGGGTTAAACCAGGGGTTTCTTACATTTATAAAGTGAAGTAAAATGCATTTCTGCCCATCCCTAAATGATTAAATCGCGTAATGTTATACTAGGTTAGTTTTTAGCCAAATTTCCGTGGTGCTTGGCGACTGGGCTTCACCCAATTGTACAGTTTCTTTAATTTGTGCCTTTAGGCTTAATTCATTCTGTCTCCTGCAGTCATTCACCGAGGAAAGTGGAAACTATCGTCTTTTTCTTCTCCTCTTATAATATCTTCTGATTCACTTCGTTGCGGGAACCAAGACAGTTACTCATGTCGTACTCGTACAGTGGCCCATGCAAATTCTCCGGTGGTCCGAGTACTCACCATGCTCAATTCTCTCCTGATGTCGGCACCAGAGTGTGATTTATTTGCAATGAGATGGATAGATGTGTGTCGTGAATGTTTAAGATTTTGTGAGAGGATGGATGATACGTAGCTGATTATAATGTTAATGTTTGTGTCAAGTTACAATAATTACTCTAATTACCAAATTTGACATTCAAATGTATAGTCTTTGTTTTTTGTTTTTTGTTGATTTTGTTTCTTTATTGTATTAATTTTTATTTTTTGTATTTGATTACCTAATTAGTTTGTTTTTAAGTATCTAAATAATAGCATTTATATAAGAATTAACAGTATAACTTAATGGCGTAATATATGTACATTTTCAAAAATAAATAAATAAATGTCCCTCGGACGCGCCGGACTTCAATGTTCCGGTGTTTTCATGGTTGTATCTACTGTAGATCCTGGTGCACAGGAGTTGCAGTTTTGAGAGGGTGTGGCAGGCTAGTCCAATAAAAAATACTATTTACCCATTATCATAATTTCTCGTAAATATGTTCACCTGTATCTTAGATCTTAGATAATAACACTATAAAATACCTGTAACAGCCAGTTTCAATAACCTATCTATCTGTAGATTTGCTTACTAGAGATAGAATTTTGACATAAGCCCCATACTAAAAGTGTCAACATTCTATCTCTAGTAAGCAAATCTGAAGATAGATAGATTATTGAAATTGGACGTAAGTCTAGTCAGACTAGAACTTAGGAACAAGATCATTTATATTCTAGATTAAGATATGAGTATGCAAATCTAGTATTCATGAATATTCTCCAGATATGCTTATCGGAAATCTTAGAGAAATGTCTTGTCTAGATAAACATACCATCACGCTCTTTATCCACGAAGGGGTAGGTAGAAGTGCACATTACGACACTTAATGCCACTGTACAATGTAACACGCACTTTTCACTATTTCTGTTATGAGTCCCATGAAATAGGGGGTGAGCCTATTGCCATATATCGGGCACAATTCCGGACTCCGTGCTGCTACTGAGATTTCTTTTTAAATCCTGTTATACTTTGCCCGACCTTGGAATCGAACCCATGGCCCCTTGCCCGGCAGTTGCACTTGCGACCACTCGGCCAACGTGGCGGTCAATTTTACCTATTTCTCTAAGTCGACTTGATTTCATGGGGATGTTTTTAACGTTGCCTCACACTATGATTTTCTCCCGTGCCGTGTGTGCGTTTACAAACATACAAGTTCACATACACATGACACACAGACCCGGAACAACAATCTGTGGATCACACAAAGAATTGCTCCGTGCGGGAATCAAAATCGCTACACGGTGCGCAGTACCCGGTTGCCCAGCCACTGCGCCAATCGATATTAAAAAACTGCGTTTAAAATAACCAACTTCAAAAACTAAAGAAAAACGAAAAGTAAAAACTAAGAAGTAAAATAATAACTATTATTGGTCATACGTACTTATAGCTTACACACCCACTGATTGGTTAAAAGTCAGTGCCGGTGGTAAAAGTTCCCCTCGGTTTCCCTGGTCTTCCATCATCAGACCCTGATATCCTTATTATGGGACTATTATAGGACTATGTTCTTTCCAACAAAAAAAGAATTATTAAAATCGGTTCATAAATAACAGAGATATCGGCGAACAAACATACCTCCTCCTTTTTTTGACGTAGGTTAAAAATTGGTCTAACTTTAAAAAATATATATTTTTAATCATTATTAAGATCATCTCCTAATCTCTTCCAGATAATCTATTACGAGCACGCCCAACACCAGCACCATTACGACCACGAGGAGGAGGAGCACGGCTGGGGACCCTGGTCCAGGAGTATACTGCCAGACGAAGTGAGTATGGAGGTCGGTACCTGCAGCCCAAAAGTTAACATCGATAAATTAATCAGCGGGCTTACTCTTGAATCCAATTCCGATCTATCGACATTGATATTGTGAAATTTCGTACTCTTGAGTTACAATACTAGCGCCCATTGCATCCGTATTGCGTGGATATTGAATGAACTCAATGGTATTGAGTTTGGCTTTATATTCTGTACTCTGAATGCTATTTTAACAGCTCAGATTGTGGTTGTATAGTTTTGACATTGAATAATTATTGAGATTTTATTGGACTGCCTCGTTGGCCGAGTGATTGCAAGTGCGACTGCCGGTCAAGGGGTCTCGGGTTCGATTCCCGGGTCGGGCGAAGTACTACTGGGTTTTTATAAATTCTCAGTAGTAGCACGGAGTCTGGAATTGTGCCCCGTATATGGCAATAGGCTCACCCCCTATTACATGGGACTCATAACAGAGATAGTGAAAAGTAGGTGTTACATTGTACAGCGGCATAATGTACACCTCTGCCTACCCCTTCGGGGATAAAAGGCGTGATGTTATGTTATGTTATGTGTTATTTTATTGGATTGAAATTACATTGAGATTGGTTTTAAGAGTAAGAACCTAGATCTGTCACGTAACTCGTGTGGTGTCGTGGTGGCCCGGAGGTTTAAGACACCCGCTTCTCATATATGAGGGTGCGGGCTCGAAACCTACTAACGGCAAGTACCAGTGTGACTTTTTCCGAGTTATATGTACTTTCTAAGATTATTCAGACACCACTGACAAACGGTAAAGGAAAACATCGTGAGGAAACCTGGGCTTATAATTTCTAATTACAAGTTTGAAATCGCCAACCCACATTGAGCAAGCGTGGTGATTAATGCTCAAACCTTTTCCGTGTGAGAAGAGGTATTTGGTCAGCAGTGTAATGTTATAGACTGTTGATGGTCTATACCTCGGATACATAATATTATTTATGCAATATAAATAAAATAATCATAATTTATCTTTACTCAACAGGAAAGTGAAGCCGATGCTAGCGAAGTATCCCCCTACAAGGCACAAGAACGGAACCCATTAGTCTATAGCCGTCCTTATCTAACGAGGGTTTAATATATCGCTATCTCTTTCACTCCAGTCATAGAACATAACCTATAAACGCTTGCTTGACAGTTGACATTATTTTGACAGAACGCCATTTTGAAATGAGGGATTTAAACGAAAATGTATTTTGTTATCAATGTGTTAGGATTGAAGTTAGGTTGATTTGAACACATGTGGTTTTGGTACTATTAAGACTATCTTTTTTTTTGTAAATAATCGAACTATAATAAATTAACGAACTATAATGGTTTGTTGCGGGTTCAATTCCCAAGTTGAGGTACCTAATTTATATAAAAGCATGATGATAAGTTTTGTAAAAAACATCTTATTACAAATTAATATTAAAAGTATCAAGTAGTCGAACAATAATGTCAGTGTTGCAAGCAAAAAGGTATGGTGTTGCAATTATATAAAATTATACCTAAGATTTAAGTATAACTAATAAATAAGGCATTATTAATTAAGTTGTGGCCATAAGTGTGTATGTTAATTTATTGTGTGAATGTGTGTGTATGCCTTTATTTATTTATTAATAAATTATTATTTCTAAAATATAGTTTTTTTACTACCCTTAACTGAAGATATTTAACAAAGTTGTACTTAACCACTCGAGCGTCCTTATGAGCACCCGGTGGATCATAAGAAAAAATGCTCCATGCTGCTTTCTCTTTTATAAAATCCATTATTAATGTTTTGTTTTTATTTTGACTGTATTTTTTATTTCTATTGTTCGGGATATCCACGCTCGGGATATTATTTTGATAACATGACTGCGTCACGCAGGGAGTTCAAAGCCGCGCATAAATATGTACTGAAAAACCAAGATAAAATGAAAATGGAAATATTAGCTAGGCACCGCTCAAATAATAATTTCATAGAGTTTTGGAAGGAAACAAAAAAATTAGACAATAGAAGTAGCATACCAGTAAACGTAGAGGGAGAAAATAATAAACAAAAAATAGCAAACATCTTTAGGAATCATTTCAATGAAAATAATGTTAATAATAATAGTAAAACGTTTAGTCATATTATGAGCGGTCGGGGTTCGGAGCCTCTCTGCGTTAACATAAATCCGAAAATTATTGAAGACATCTTAAAGAATATGAAGCGCGGAAGGTCTCCGGGCCACGACGGCCTTAGTATAGAACACCTACTTTTTGCGGGCAGATATATATGTGACGTCTTGGCGCGGCTCTTTAATCTCTGCGTGAAGCATTGTTACTTACCGGAGGCTTTAATGCGTACCTTAGTGGTACCTGTACCAAAAAACAAGACTGGTGATATCTCGAGCGTGTCCAACTATAGACCCATCTCCTTGGCGACGATTGCAGCCAGGATCCTTGAGCGAGCTCTTCATGCACACATCACAAAGTTGGGTATTGATGATGGCCAGTTTGGTTTTCGGCCTAAACTATCGACCGACCTTGCTATTTTCTCGCTTAAGGAGGTTGTTAGGTATTACACCGAGAACGATACCACAGTCTACGCATGTTTTTTGGACCTGAGCCGTGCATTTGATACGATAAATCATGACCTTCTATGGTCAAAATTGCACGGGTCGGAAGTTCCCTCTGAGGTTGTTGGTCTGATGGCATACTGGTATAGTAATCAGACCAACAGCGTCAGATGGGACACTGAAATGTCGGATCCATACAGACTGTCATGTGGTGTGAGGCAGGGCGGGGTGACCTCACCTGACCTCTTTAACTATTATGTTAATGATTTGGTCGTGGAACTGAGCGGTACACCCGTCGGACTGAGATTGGATGGCAGATATGTCAACAATCTGAGCTATGCCGACGATATGGTGCTGCTCAGTCCTACGATCAAGGGGCTGCAAAGGCTAGTTAGTGTTTGCGAGAGGTATGCGCGAGAGCACGATCTTACATACAACGTAAGGAAGACGGAAATGGTCGTCTTTGGATCGAGACAGGGGCCCGGAAATGTGCCGGAGCTGCGCTTAAATGGGCATACTGTGAAAGTTGTTCAGCATTTCAGGTACCTGGGTCACATTGTAACCTCCAACCTGAAAGATGATGAGGATATAGAGCGACAGAGACGTGCTCTGTGCGTAGTGGGCAATATGATCGCCAGAAAATTTTGTAGTGCAGCGCCTGACGTGAAAGTAACACTGTTTAAATCATTTTGTCAGACGTTCTACACGTGTCAACTCTGGACTAATTATACAAAAAAATCGCACAATGCCATCAGAGTCACATACAACAACGTCTACAGGCAACTCATGGGACTACCGAGAGGTTGCAGTGCTTCGGGGATGTTTTTTGATGCTCGTATTGACACCTTTAATGCCATACAGCGCAAAAGGATAGCCTCCTTTATATCCAGAGTTGGCATGTGTAAGAATGGTATTGTTACGAGTTTGGCTGACCGCCTGCATTTGACTGCAACGTACAGACGATGGTTGGCTATGGTCACCTAATTTGCATATTTTTTTTTTTCCTCCTATTATTATGTTATTAATTAGTTTATTTACATATACCTACAATTATCAATTTATTTTTTTTTTGTTATATTTTATAATTATATTTGTATTTATAAATATTGTGCATGTAACTATGGATCTTAGAGTCTGAAATAAAGAGTTATTATTATTATTATTATTGTATGTCTTTACCATTCACGGGACCACAGGGTCCCGGTCATTTGGGAGGCGTACGAGGGGCCGAAGCCAACTGCGCAGAGGCCCTTTAGACAACTTTAATATAAAATATGTAATGGACACACAAACCGGCGACTATCCCTGTATGCACTATGGAAATGCACCCAAGGACAGTCTCCGGTTAGTGTAAAACTATTGTGGATAATGGAAAAAAAAGATAGGGCTATGGATGGGTTGCTGTGGACTGGTAAATTGGGTACTATGGATGACTATGGCACCTGCCGAAACAATGTAATTTTTACACGTAAAAATGGCAGGCGGAGACTCGCCAACTCACCGACCGGGCCCCGGGAATGGTTGCTAGATATAGCAACAGAGGGGCAACGAGAATGTGAGTGGCTGAAGGGTTAAGAAACTACCACCGCTTTCTACTCAGATCATCTGCTCCAGCCGAAGCCTCCTGCATCCCTGGCCCACTCGCGACTTACGAATAGTTTCTTACCCTCCGAGCAGGATCACTGCTCTCGCGACTCCACTCTGGACGGCCAATGAAGGCAAGCCAGAGGTGGGAGACCTGTTCCTTGTCATCTTTCACTCCAGCCAGCCAATTAAGGCAAGCCGGAGAAGAAGGAACGGTGACCTCTCCCTGGAGCACTCGGGATGATGGTAGCCCGCGGGATCGCTAATGCCCGTCACCTCGCCTCAAGGTGCCCTGCGGGCTTATTATTATTATTATTGTAATGATCATTGTTTTCGTGTGCCAATGGCCAAATAAATGCATTTTCTTTCTTTCTTTCTCCAAATGTCACGTGTGCACCCGTTGGATCATAAGGAACGCGGACGCTCGACGGGTTAAAGAAATAAAATAGTACTCCATTGACATTGATGAGGGCAAAGAATTGTTGAAATTTTCACTTTGAGTAAACTGTCTATAGTTATCCATACTTGTCTCAAGGTCCATAAACCATGAGTGAAAAAGTAAATTGACTGACTTCAAGAAGAGGAGGAGGTACTATGTTCGGACGATTTTTTTTTTTTTTTGTTTATTCACCGTTTACTCTGTCATTTGTGAACCGATTTGCTTAATTTTTATTTTTGACCACAGGATTAGTTTGATTTTCTTTTTAATTTGAATGTTTCTAACTCAGAAACCCTATTACATGGGACTCATAACATAAATAGTGAAAAGTAGGTGTTACATTGTACAGTGGCATAATGTGCACCTCTGCCTACCCCTTTGAGGATAAAAGGCGTGATGTTATGTGTTATGTCTAACTCAGAAACTGCTAGTCCAACATGAATAATTATTTTTGAATTTTGCAGCTTTATTTCTAAGATATGCCTGTGTTCAGCAATTGACGGAAATGATGATGAAATAAAAATGCAAGTTATTATAAAAACCAAAAATATATTTTCTCATTAATACATACAGTTAAACAATCATTACATACAGGCACTAAAACAAAAATACCGACAACCACCAAACTACTAGAATCACGGAAATATCCGAAAATACCGAAATCGTCCGAATTATCGGGGTGAATATTTCGGATTGTCCGGCGCATAGGTGAAACTCCTAAGTTCATACGAAACACCATTTTGGTTTTCATAGTCGTCAAAGTCCGAACAACCTCCGAAAACCCGATTCGGTTTTCGGTCAGAAGAAGTCGGGTCGGTTTCGGACGAAGTCGGCTCGGAATTAGTCGGCAGAGGTCGGAATAAGGCGGAATGGGCTGTCGCCGTATCGAGATCGGCTTTCCTAGATACAATTATACGTATGTCCGTGTGCAGGTACAATTTACCGGATTTCGATGTCATGAATCTGAAAAGAGAGATAACATAAAATTAGTCAAAGTCAAAATCATTTTATTTCAAAAATATTTCATCCTTTTTTCGAACTATCAAAAACGACAGTTTTCTATGAATTTTGTGCGCTATTGTGTATTGTGACGTCGCGGTTTTTATGAGTAAAACAGCGCTAAAGTGGCGTTTGGCTAAAGGCTCTGGTTCACAATACAATTAAATTATAATTCAATTAGTATATTACAAGGCATAACATCAATGGTGGAATAATTATGTGTTACTCCGACTACACTTTCGTGGACAAAGTGCTTGATGTTACAACACTAAAGAATTAAGCAAAAAGTCATTGAATATTACAAATTTGGATGCCATTCATTACAATATCTACAAAAAAGTTTATAAATATTTAATTTAATAATTTATTTTGTTATTCATAGTGTGACTCATTGTCTGATATTTGACATAGATAATATGACTAACTGTAACAATTAGTAATTGGGAGGATGACAAGGTATGAAAATTAAAAATTTAATTAGTTCGTAAGGTAGATAATGACAAAATATTAGACATGTTTTTTTTTTATTTT